ATATATATATATATATATATATATATATATATATATATTGTTGAGCATTGTCTTTTGGCTGAATCATAACTTTTGAAACAGGAAGGAAAGACCTTAATTGGACATGGGTAAGACCCCTGAAAGACCCTGAGATTCTATTGGTGGTGGACACCTGAGAGATATAAAATTCTATTAGTGTAGAAGCTAAGGGAGGTGTGTTAATGTGTAAATTTGGGTGGAGTATTAAAACAAAGAAGTGTATTTAAACTTTGTGCTAGCCTATACTCATCAGACACTCGAACGACCTGTCTCTGTTGTTACAGATGCTGTAACAATAAACTGCTTTGCCCTAAAGACTTCGGAGATCTCAGACTTTGTCATTTTTTGAAAGGTTAGACTTAGAGACTTAGAATATTTTGCTGACCAGAATCTTTTTTCCACAGCATTACTTGAAATAAATAGCTGAAATTCAGTTTTAAATATTAGCCGGTGGGTAACTGTACATACCACAAACTCTTTCTTATTTGAAAAACATGTATGTTTGCTTTGGTAATAATTAATTCGATCATAATTTATCATTTAATCATACTTTTCTACACTTTTGTAAGGTCCATATGATCTGTGTTGACTTGAATGCTGGTGTTAACATGAATCACACACACACACACACACCAGGCTTTTAAATCAAATCAGCATCTGCAACGGTGTCCACTTGGTTTTTTCCAGGCCCTGGATGAGTTTGCTCTGCGTATAATAAGAGAAATGTCTTTGTTGCAGCATTAAGGAGGTTTGCTGGCCTCCGGCTCGAGCAGGGTTTCTCTTCTGTCACATGTTGTTTGCCTCGCTCGAGCAGCCCTGCAGGCCACATGAGCGAGAGAATCAGAGAGAGGGAGGGATTGTTTAGATTTAACCAGACATTTATTTTACATTTTCATCCTCACAAAACACTTCTAATACAATAATCTCGAAAAAGTGTAAAGGAGACTTATTATGCAGCAATCACCTTTATAAGGGGTTTAATCAGAGTCAGATTAGGAAAATATTGAGGCCTATAGCAAACCCAAGGGCCCCATTTATTAAATTGAGTAGCTTTTTGCTATTATTATCATTATTATTATTATTATTATTATTAATTTTTTAATTAATATAATCTAATTTCCCACTACTTGATTTATATTTGGACGCAGTGGCGCAGTAGGTAGTGCTGTTGCTCACCTCATAGCAAGAAGGTCGCTGATTCAAGCCTCAACTGGGTCAGTTTACGTTTCTGTGTGGAGTTTGCACGTTCTCCTTGCGTACACGTGGGTTTATTTCGGGTGCTTTGGTTCCCCCCCTCCAGTCCAAAGACATGTGGTACAGGTTAATTGGGTAGGCTAAATTGTCTGTAGTGTATGAGTCTGAATGAGCGTGTGAGGATGCACGCTCATTCAGACATCATCCGCTGCGTGAAACATGTGCTGGATAAGTTGGCGGTTCATTCCGAAGTAGCGACCCCGGATTAATAAAGGGACTAAGCCAAAAAGAAAATGAATGACTTATATTTGATTATAATAAATGTTTTACACTCACCGGCCACTTTATTAGGTACACCTTACTAGTACCAGGTTGGACCCCCTTTTGCCTTCAGAACTGCCTTAATCCTTCATAGGAGAGATCAACAAGGTGCTGGAAACATTCCTCAGAGATTTTGCTCCGTATTGGTCTGGTGAGTGTATAAACATTACAGATTTCCTCCGGTTTTCCCCACAGTCCAAACACATGCGCTATAGCTGAATTGAAGAAACTGTAGGAGTCCATCTATTAGCCCAATGACGAAACTAACAGCATGGTCGAAGGTTTAATGCATGTAAGCCTTTTCTAGTGCTTCTGAAAAGAATTTTATTATTTATTAGAATTTATTTATATTAGTTTTCTAGCTCCGAATTCAATCTGACTCCAATTTCAATGATCCTAAAATTTAGATTGTATTTCTAATTGTAAGAACGGATCACATTCATCATTTATGATTTCATTTAGAGTTTTGATATTTTCTGAGGTCTGATATTCTAATTGTACGTTCATTAGGGACCAACATCGCTCAGAGTTTCACGCCCCGGGTTTGCGCTTCTTCTCACGGACAATATGTCGACACTCTGAAAATAGTCAGAGGATGCAGGATTAACTATATTTGAATAAGCTGGTCGCATTAACGCTTACCTAGTCTTAAAAAAATAGATCCTTTAGCCAAGCCCATACAACTTGCTACTTCCAGTGGTTGAATGATTAAAAGGTCTACATGTTATAGGCCTCTATGGCTACGTATAATCAAATGTGCCTATTAATCAATTCAATTATGCCATACAATAAAGGTAATGAAGACTCCTCTAATCTACTGGATACAATGAATTCGCAAAACTCCAGAATTAATCAAAACTTAACATTTTATTTGTCAGGTAAAATTGTATTCTGCCAATTACATAATAAATCATCAGGAAGCCAATTCAGAGAGGAGACTAACAATATAACATCCATTAATCAAAGATAAATCAAAGAATTATAGATGCATACCTGACCACAGAAATACATTGCAGCATAAGTCTCAGAGATGCTGCAATGGGGTGTTTTTTTACAAGATCTCCCCCTGTCCTAAAGCACATGTTACCTTATATACTCAAGTCAAAACAAACAGCCATAAATTCAAGACAATAGAGGTGTCACAGAAATCCTGACCTGGTGAATTTGAGGACTTAACCATCTCTGAGGAGGGAGAGCATCTTATCAAGATCTTATAGAAGTCAAAAACCAAATCAACATATACCAGTGAAATATTACTGTAAAATTAAGACCACTTTACCAATCACACAGAGACATTTAAAATTATACCAAACGTGAACATAGTGCTGAAAGATACACCATATTAAAACCTTGAACATTTTATGTGAAATGTGCTCTAATCAGAAGGTAACATAAGGGTCAAGAAGGGGGGTTTAAGTGGAAGGAGAAGGGTGACTTCTTCGCATTACCCCCTGCTGTGGAGTAGCTCTGTTTCTCCAGCCTGTGTTTGCAT